TGCATTTAGCTTCGAAGTTTATTTATAACTGAGATAACATTTGCAAGGCATTTCTGTTTCTAATCTTAATAGTCATATGATATGTGGCATTAGTGTAGTAAACACCATTCAGACTAGCACAGTTACTTCTGTTGATCCAGTACATTTTCATTAAATTGTAAAAATTTGAAACAAATGTCCCCAAAGTTAAGGCAGGCAGAGCCTTTAAGGCTTACACTCAGAAAAATAACAACTAAACCACTGTGGAAATCCTTGAAGATTTTTAATCAGAATTTGAATAATTATTTAAGGTAGATTCTAGAAATGGATTTGATGTATAAAATACAATTCCTTTTTGTAAACACGCTTGCTAAAACTTTTATAGTTTTGAAAATAAGTCCCCCTCCCCCCCCCAAAATAATTGGTTAAGGATAAAAAACAGCTTCCTAAAAACAGCTATTAATTACATCGTTCATTTACTCATGGTTAAAGGGAAGATGATGCTCACCAGTGGGCACATCTATGTGAGATGCTACTGTGCAGTGGTTACTGCACATTTATTTAGTACTTGTATAATCAAGTACTAAATAAATACTCAGTAACCAGAGTTACTGTGCAGTAGCTTCAGCGAATGCCTTTTAAGTGATGCTACTGCATAGTAGCCTAATAATACTGCGCTGTAGTGTATTAGCACTGTTGATGCTGTGACGCACTACTGCGCAGTATTATTTGGCTAGTGTGCAGTTAGCATCTCATGTAGATGGACCCACCTAGTAGGATATCACTCAGAAAAAATAGGAAGTGACTGGTAGCATAGATTTAGCTATAATTATACTGCTTAGGGGTTCTTAAGGTCAATAGGCAAAATCTTTTGAGTCTTCTGCTCATGTTTTGAGATCTAGGGGATGTCTCCAGTGACTCTGAGACAACCATGAAAATAGCAGTCCTCAACTTCAGGTCACACTATGGGAAATTTTGCCCTATTAATTCCAAAATAATTAGTCCTCAGAAACATGGTACAGTAGAACCCAGATAATTTTTATCAGCGTGGTTCACGACCCACTTATTTTGCAACAGGTTTAAGATTAATCCCTCAGCTCTTTGCTGCAGCTTTTACTTCAAAGGACACTACTTCTCTAATCAGCTGGAGATCATCAGCTGTCCTGCAGAGGTGATGGAAGAAGTGGCAAACAACTGGAGTTTCTCAGTGGTCCTGTGCAGCTGTTTGCTGTGGTAAAACGTACCACAGGCTAGTTCACATCTTTGTAGCTTTGGGGGAGGGGAGGTGGGTAAGGGGAAGAATATAAACCTTCAAAATATCTAGGTTATACTCAAATATAAACTCATGAAGCAAGATTCTCAGATGGGACAAATCTTCTGATGCTTTGTTCATTTCTGTAAATTGATTTACACCAGCTGAGGAACTTGTACATATATATAGAATTTCCCATTTTTTATTTTTCATGGGGTGGAATGGATCTGACCCCCCGTCCCCCTTTAAAAACAAAAATGAGTTATACCTGTATTGAAATTAAGAACAGGAATTAATTTAACTTTTTCTTCTTAGTGATTATAATTTTGACACAGGGACTGAACAATAGAAAATAGATGCTCAAAATGATACAAACTTTATTTCCTTCAACAAATTTCTGACTTCTTTCAAATATATTATGTATCCTAATTTTATAAATACATAGTAAATTATATCCAGCAATGTGAAGAAAGGGTTTTTAAATAATCATAATATGAGCCAATGTAGGTTGCAAAACAGATACTCTGAGACAGAATTTTGCTAGTCCTATGGATTATTAAAGGGAAAATTCTTTGTACAGCACATGTGGATACAATCTCATTTGTGTTACAAAATCAGAGTTTGAAACCATTGTTTTGTTCTTTCAATTCTTATTCTTTTTGCAGATAGACTTTTTTTTTGTATCACTGTCACAGCCACAACAGTTAGCATGCGGTGGGCTACAATACTGTCGTACTAGTATTAACCTCTGACCAGACTCTGTTAAAACTAATGAACACCAGTAGGGGCTCTGTTTTACAGTGCACTTTCCCTGAAGTCAAATGTAAAGAACTTCCCTTATAGTTTTATTTTGACTATTAAAAAAATACAAATGAAACATAAAAGGAGCTAAGAAAATATGTTGCAGCTACAAATACTGTTTTTTTAGCTTTGTTTACATATTTGTAGAACTGTTTCAAACATTTCTCTTTTGTTTGTAATAAAGTCAAGCATCTTAAAGCCTCTCCTCATTGTTCTCTTACAGCCCTACTACCTCCTGCAGCTTGTGCTTAAAGAGTCAAATTCTACTTACCTTACTCACAGAAGTATTCATCTTGGCTTCATTGAGATCTGCAGATGAGTAAGACAAATAGGATTTGGTCCAAAGGTATGAATTTAATATGGGAAAATATAAACATTGGTATGACATTTTCCAGTTTAAAGAAATAGGAAAACCCCCCACATTGTTTGTTTTTTCCAAGTTTTTGCTGATTGTCAATTAAATGTATATCTTCAGTCTTGCATAGTAAGCTCTGTGTATTATACCATGCATAATTGTTCCAATTTTAGTATGTTTTCTTATTGTTCATTCATATCTAAAATTTCAATCAAAATCAGAACTTAGGGTTTATATTGTAGTTTGTGAACCCCATCTCCCAGGCTTTACTTAGAGAGGCTGCACAAGGAGTTTTGCCTGTGAAAGGTTTGCATGATTGGGCCTATTAAATAATTCCATGTAAATTAAAACATATAATATTATTTACTCAAGTATTCAAGCTTTATTGCAAGCATTCATTCTAAATTTAATTACCAAATGAATACTAGTTTGCACTCACTGTAAAACTCTTATGTTAAGCTTTTAACTGTAAATCTGTCATCCTGTTTTTACTAACCCTCCCTGATTTTTGCTTAGTTTGAAAGTTGGCTCAATTAATTTCCAGCAAAGCATCACTATGTAGTAATTTTTTCCATAAAACCAAATAACTAGTCAAGAATATTGTTTGGAGGTGGTTGAGAATACACACCCTGGCTGTGTAACGTTTATGCAGCTATTGAAGACACAGAGCAGAGATCAGACCCCTAGTTGTTTGGCTTCTGTGGCATCTAAACATGTTTTTTATTTGGAGCCTAAACATGTGCTTTTTTTTTATTTTTTTATTTTTTTTAGGTTTTGCTTTTCATTTTAACATCTCCTTAACCTTTAGGAGAAAATCTTGCAACTTTTTAGTTTTCTCTTACTGACCAAATGTCTTTCTTCTAAAAAAATAGACTACTGCGCTTTTCCTTAAAGGCATAACAATCACCTTTGACATCAGCAACCATAGGTAAAACAGTGAAGGTTATGATGAGATATTGGCTACATAATTGGACGTGTTTACCTGTTGTTTTGGGAGTTTAAAGTGCTTTTTTATATTTGTTTTACCATATCACTTGGCTTCTCATTTAATCATTCCTCTGCTGACAGATTGGGGTGGGAAGTGTTGGGTTTCCATGGAGAGCTGTGTAGTGGGGGCAAAAAGGGAATTTGGAATCAAATTACAGAAAAACAGGCAGATATGGTTAATCTTCAGAGTAACTTGAATTTGAAGTAAAGCCTTTTTAAACATGTTTTGTATGTGGGAACAAAAGATATACAGTACAGCCTTTTCAGGTATTCTAGTTAGTATATACTCGTGTGTTTGTGTGTTACCTTGGTTAGGGTGTAGTGTAAGATTTCCTTTGACAATGTTTGTGTGTAGAGTTTGTGTGGATAATATTTAGCGTATGCATGGTACTGGGAATGTTAGGTATGGCATACACGTTTTATTCCATGGATAGTAAGTCAAGTGTTATGTTCTGAGCAAGATTATGTAAGCTGCATTTGCTTATAACATCGTTGTGTAATTTGAGGCTATGTGGGTATAGGCTGAATTGGAGGTGTGCTACAAGATGAGGGGATATATAGAGTATATATGGTGGTGTCTGTAAGGTACTGTAAGGGACTGTCACAGAGACTGTATGCGTATAGGTTGAATTGTGGGTGTGCTACAAAGCAAGGTGGAGGATATAGATTATATGGTGGTGTCTAAGGTATTGAGAGGCTGTCATGGAATGTGCCTAGGGGCTGTGTGGGTGTGGGCTGAATTGTGGGTGATATACAGGGATTTACAGGGCATATGGTGGTGTCTAGAGTGTGCCTAGGGACTGTGGGGGTGTAGGTTGAATTGTGGGTGTGCTACAAGGTGAGGGGGTATACAGGATATATGGTGATGTCTATGTGGGATTGAGAGACCGTCACAGAGCATGTCTCGGGACTGTGTGCGTGTAGGTTGCACTGTGGGCTGTGCCTATTGAGTTGTGTGTGGGCCATGTGTGTGGAGTGTCTGTTGGGTATTAGGCTCTGGGGTGTGTGAGGGTGTGTGTGTGTGAGAGAGACAGACAGCACTGAGAAGGGTTCAACTGTGAGGAAAGTGTGTGTGTGTGTGAGAGAGAGAGCACTGAGATGAGTGTGTGTGTGTGTGAGAGGGAGAGATGGATTCAACAGTGAGGGAAGTGTGTGTGTGTGTGTGTGACACACAGAGAGAGCGCGAGAGAGAGAGAGCGCACTGAGAATGGTTCAACAGTGAGGACAGAGAGTGTGTGTGTGTGTGTGCGTGTGTCCGGCCCGGCCAACACGCTGCATGTGGAAACTCAGGAGCGCGCCCTGCCTCCTTCCAGGATCTTCCCGCTCTTCGCCTTCAAAATCGAAACTCAAACCAAAGTTTGGGGGAAAAAAAAAAGGAAAGAAAGAAAGAAATGCTTTGCAGCATTGTCCGCAGCCCCCGGCCCGTCCCTGGGAGCGGGGGGCGGCGGAGGCCGCGCTCTACCTGCC